GATATTGCTTTATAGTTTTAAACAGTTGCTCAGTTGAATTATCGTGAAGTGTTAATCCTAACTCAGCTGTAGTAAAACAGCGCCTTCGCGACAGAGCTTCCTCTAGTGACACATTAATTGAATCTATTAGTTCTATCGTAAGCTAAAATGTAATATTGTTAATCATTTGTTGCAATGGAGTTCTAAGATGGTGCTCCTATTTTTTGAGAGAGATCGTTCAGGAGTATAATCAGGATCTTTTGATCATTGGGGCGACTTCACTAGTTCAAAAACAGCTACTGGACCAGACTATGATAATTCAAGAAAAAGCTAGGCCAAACGACATTTTTTCAAACCTTGAGCTGGGAAAATCACGAAGTCCAAAATCGTATCAGGCCAAGACTCAAATCGAACTGACGAGGGAACCTTTCGAGGTGATTAAAAGCTTTTTGATCGATATCTAGTGGGTTATAGGTTATCGACCATGCTGATTCCTAATATGGTCATGGGACTGGCCCATAGCTCTTCGAAGATCCAGTCTTCGGGAAAACCAGTTTTTCAGTAATTCCAAAAAATAACCCAAGCCTTTCTTAATAACGCAGGATTGTAGCGCGCAAATTTCTGATTAAAATGATACATCCTCCAGCTCTACACAGCCTTTCTTTTCAAAGTTATAGAATTTATAAGAAGAGCCTTAAATTGTTCATTGTCAGCTCAAAGCTACAGAAATAAGAAGGAAAGAATTAATTTAGGGCTCTTCTTATAAATTTTTAAGTGTGGTAAATTCCACCTCAACATTTGAACACAATTACTTCCCACTACACATTCAGTCAGACGTCAGTTCTCACAATATTCATTATCACCAGCGCTTGCCTTTGAAATGAAAGGTTGAACGTTTGGTTTTATACGACTCAACAATCTCGTTCAAAAGAAAAGCATAATCTCAGCATTACTGTTAAAAATAGAAGTAACAATGTTAGATCTCAGGAAGAGCTTACCTCTCTTGTATGAAGTAGGTAAATATTGCTTTTATAGTTACCATCATTGTCTTCTTCATATAATTTGAAAAATCCTGCCTGAAGTTCATCAATAGTGTTGCTGCTATATAATTCGTAGGTTATAAGAGGATTATCATCAACTATTAGTATTGATTGTTGAATAGAAAAAGAAATCCTGATAAAGTCAACACTAGCAAGTTGAACAATAGCTGTGAAAATTGTGGACGATAGGTTTGAAAATTTTTCATTCTTGTGTATTGTTACAACACGTGTTGGATTCTCACAATGATCTCCGTAAAAGTTTCCAGGACACTGACAGGTTGTCCGATCTTTATAAGAACTATCTTTAAACGTTAAACAAATGCCATTGTTATCACATTTAAATGTAGAAGAAGAACATTGATTTGGTATTTTCAAATTACAAGTTGCACCCCATGTGTTCAAAGGACATATACACATAAAACTTGTATATTTTGATGCATTATGATCATAAAATGTAGGCAAATAGATGCTGTTATTTGCACAGGTTGAACTAACATTAGTCAATGTGTTCTTCGATAAATTCCATAAAACTGATCCATCACAATTCTTACCATTCCATTCAATTTCACAGTCACAATAATAATCACTTTCTTTATTGATTATTGGATAGCAGGTACCATGTAAACATTGATCTGAGCACACCTGTCGCAATAATCGTCGACGTTCTCTTAAATCGATATGCAAAATTCTAGCAAGACGATAAGCTGGTAGAAAAGGATATTCAACATCGTATTCCCAAACAAATAGTAATTTTACATAGTCAATATCAATATTATACAATAAAAACTTTATCTTGAACTCAGAATTTCGATTGAAATGAATACGTTCAAGTAATATCCATGGATAATTAAGATAAAATCGGTGTTTGTCACCTGATCTAACGAATTGAGTAATGACAAAATAATCGATTATCCGATTTTTATATTCTAGCAATGTTAATAGTCGAACTATCGGAAACAAACTACTATTAGCTCGCTGTGTGAAATCTGTGACAGTACCAGTATTCAACCGAACAACGACTGTGATGCGATGATTATGATACTGACAACGGTTACCAAAGTAACTCGGTGGACATAAACAAGCTAGTTGCTTTCTTCTTAAAACAAGAACACCACGATCACAATACCATGCAAATTTATTTTCTGACTCACTTCTTGTCTCTGAGATAGTACTCACAGTCTCGATTGGCGTCACTCTGTGACAAAAGGGTTCATCTTGCATAGTATTTCTGCAGTTGACAATATCGTTACAATGTTTAGTGTTGGAAATACATTCCATTAGAAATGGGTGATCCTGATTACACTCGCAAGTACCTGGTGGGCATAAAGTTGCTGAACGATTTGCACATAAGTAGAAATCTTCATCCTCGCCTTCTAAACAATGTTTGAAACCATCGCCTAAAATAAGACTGAATGTAACTTTATGTTAAAAATGCTCTTCTGCGCTCAGATCAGTCACTTACATGTATACATTTGTTCAATACAAGTACCATTTAAACATAGAAATCGTGTATTTAGCGATAATCTATCTTGACACGCATACGTATTTCTCTCGTCTTGGCCTCCGATGCAATCAACATGGACATTACCTCGCAAACGCCACTTGGAATTAATATCAACTATTTCTTTTGTTGTTATATTTCGACATGGTGGTGATTTGATTTTATAACCAGAGTGTTCTGCGGTACAATTCAGTTCGTCTCTACCGTCGATGAAATCCCAAATACCATCACACTTCTTAACATTCTTATTACAGTTTCCATTCCACAGTTCTACATCTTCTCTTTCGTATTTAATTTGATCTGACCCACAGGCCCAATCTGTACAATTAATTTCGTCCAAACCTTTCTGTACATCCCAACGTGAATCGCATATGTGATTGAAACCTAGTACCAGCTGTTTAGATCTCTCCGACAACGACTGTTTGAGAAAGGTACAAAACTGCTTTATAGTACAGACAATAAATCGCCAGTTCATAAATGAATTTATCTCATCACTTCCATCTTCACATTGTTTTTCTTTATCACCTGAAATTACTATTTGAAATTTAATTCTCTTATAATCAGTTATTTGAATAGATCATTTTACCTAAAAAATGAGGTAAAATCAATCCAGGTGTTGTCTCACACCGATATCTGTCTCGCAAATATTTCTTGTCTAGACTACTGATTAATAAATAATTACGTTCATCTGATCTATCGATACAGTCATAAAACCCGTCAAATAAACGATATTTTGATATGCATTCATGCGATGTCGGACACAAATAAAATGAAGATGTATTATTACAATAGAATGATGATGTCAGGTGTTTTTTTGTTACATTACTAAAAAGATATTCAAACGGTGGAAAAGGGTAATTTTGTTCATAAATATCTGTATAATTAAAACAAGTCTGTTTATAACCAGCAGCACAAAATTGAGCAGGAAGCGTTGACTGCTGAAATATTAAACGTATTATTTTGTAATTATAATATGCAAATTGATTAGCTTCAAGATAAGATTCAATAAACGGTGTAATTGAATATGATTCAAAATATTTGTAAAATACTCCAGTACTTGAACATTTATCTCTGATATGTTTAAACAAGCACATAATAAGTGAACCATTATCATTCGAATAATCAGTCGTCCTACTTCGCACGACTGCTTCGTGACACGTATCGTTTTCTTTGATAAAATTCTCAATTTTCCATTCACATTGACCTGTTTTCATTGTTCGCATATTTTCTTTTAATTCACACACATGGAATGCATCTTGATAATTATTACAAAGCGTTTCATTTGAAAATCGTTCATTCCATTCAATACACTGACCATCACCACATGAGAACTTTTCTTTACCGCATGTTCTTTCGTCGCAATCAATACTGAATGTAAGAAAACAATCACTATACCTATCAAATTTAGGAAGATATTCGGAAAAAAAGAAGTCCGTATCGTGTTGTTCGTCAGTGCCATCTAAACACTCTCTAGACACATCGAATATAAACTCTTTTGATATACATAATCCGTTTCGACATCTAAATTCATGTTCGGTCGTGCAACCATTCATTTCAATTATGTCACAATTCCTTTCATCTTCACCATCTCTACAATCTTGTTCATTGTCACAGATATCACGCCAATCAATACATCGATCGTTCCCATTCATATCCAAACACGTAATCAGGTTGTAGCATGAAATTATTCTTACACTTGGATATTTTAAAGATGTAGCAAGTCTTGCCGTTGTATGTTTTTCCAAGAGTGTCTGGAAATCTACTGATGATTCTGAACTATCGTCATCAGCAGGACTGTATTCACAAAATCGGCCAAAGCTCGTCTGTAATGAGCAGTTGCAAATAAACAGTTGTTCAATCCACTCGTCTATTTTCAATTTCATTCGTTTGTGTGAGACATATCTGGCATAATAACTTGTTACATCAAGAGGTATATTCCAGTCTAACAACTGTTCTGCTTCAGCATCTATTCAATAAAAAAGAATTTCAAGCATTCGCACTAAGTATATGAAGATAGTTTAGTCTGTTAGTCAATTTGGTAGATGAGTTCACCTTTCAAGACCTGTCACAAGCGGATTGTAGATAAAATACTAGCATTATCATCAGAAAGTGTAAAAGATACAATGTATTTGAAAGATAAATTAGAAGATTCTCTGTGAGTGATGGTTTATTAGTATTTTATTTTGACTTTTGTGAGCAATGCTCTTGTGGTTTACATCGTTTCTCATGTCAAGATCAAGATTTTGTTATTGCACTGATATGTTTCTTATTTTATTTTATTTGCTTTTTATTTTTCAACGCATACTTCTCTAAGAAAACTACAGATTCACAACAGATTCAAACTACAGAAGCCACAAGTCTGTCTTATGTAAATCTGCTGAGAGCGAGATAAGGCTGATATGTCGATCTTTCAGTTGAGCATGTATCAGAACTTCTTTCTAGATGGTTCTCTAGCGCAAAACCGTTAGAGTACTTGGCGAGATTTCATCATCAGTGACTTGACTACTATCGAAACGGAAAGGTCGTGCCGGTTGCCGTTTTTCAAATAACTTTTTAACGAAAGGTCTTAGCGGCCTGCGGTTTTCACCATCGTATAGAGGACACTTAA